CCTTTTACTTGTATTAAATCTAATTCATACTATATATATATATATATATATATATATATATATATATATATGTGTGTGTGTGTGTGTGTGTGTGTGTGTGTGTGTGTGTGTGTGTGTGTGTGTATATTGGGAGTTCATTAAGTCCGTGGTTCATGTGCAATTTTATATGCCTATAATTTTCTGACTATACATGGTATATAATCTGTAAAATGAATAAAAGACATTTTTATTCTGATTTTTTTTTCTTACGGTTGTTACAGTCTCTTCACTTACACTTTGTCTGTTTCATTGTGGCCTATCATTGTCAGAAACGTTTTCATCCACTTGGAAAATTTAGTTCTTGTTGTTGCTTCTTTATTTTGATGAGTTTTAAACATTCTTTGGACAACAGCGACAGACTTTAACTCTAAGCCCAACCCAAGAAGGCAGCATTATTACACTTCTAGTTGAGCCAGATGTCAATAACAATTCGGAAATATAAAAAAACAGTAATTTTGAAGTTTCAGGAAAAGATTAAAAAAATTACAGGTAAAAGAACAATAGTCAGCATTTTGAATACGAAGAAAAATCATGAGACACTATATAAATATTTTTATCGGATTGACTATATTAGGTATAGCTCCAAAATTAGTATTTAAAATTAAAAAAAACCCTGTATATGTAAGAGATATATTGTAAAACGCCTTTGAAATGCAAGGTAAGATGTAGAAGGAATGTAATTGATATACATTATATACTAGTACAGAACATGAAAATTAACAACATCGCTTGAAAAAGAAAGGGTAATGGAAACCCTTTCCTTATAAGTAAACTATAAGACCGAGCAGCCAGCGCTCATCGAGATAACCCTTTTTTTCATTCTCTACCTGGTGGGCTAGGATCAAAGTGTAGTATCTGTTCTCTTCCCAAGAGGTAATGGCAACATTAGCTGCTTCCTTATAAGTAAACATATGGTATTCATTAACCGAGGAGCCAGCGTTATTCGAGTTCCGCATTTATTCACTTCCTAACCATCGTACTAAAATCTATGTGTAGTAGTTTTTCTCCTCATTTCTCAGGATATTATTAGGCGTTACTTTATAAGGAAACATTCATCAACAGAGAAGCCAGTATTGCTGCCGGTTGAAATTCATAAATCGTTTTCTTAAAACTAATTTTCAAGAAAATATGTTTCTCAAGTCCAGTAGCTGTTATAGCTCTTTCCAGTATTGATGGAGATTTCTTTTCTGACCTTTTGTTGAATTAGTGTCTTATGACATTATTTTGTCTTCGAGTTCCATGTGCTATTCAATTTAGTTGTTGCTGCTGTTGATACTCCTTAAGTGGTGTGGTTTTTAGTATCTGGTATACTTCTTTGTTAGTGTTTCTACTGCGCCAGTACACAATTTCCGAAGAAGTATTGCACAAAAATCACTGAAAAGAACACTGCTTTGTAACATTACCGAAACTCAAGCAAAATTAAATAAAACTATGTATTGAAAAGTATTTAATAAAAAGTATTATAATACACAGACAGTACTTAACATACCACCAAATCTTATTAGAAAACAAAATAAGCGTCAAGTGAAAACATATAAATATTCAATTTATTATTTAAGCAGTAAAATTAATTATTTATGTAAAAAATGGCATAAATTTTCGTAAATGAAGAAAAGACTCGAATGCACAGGAATATGCACAGGAATATGTCTAGAAAACCGGAAATCAAAATGGCTACAATCGAAAGAAAAGAGGAAAAAGAGAAAAAGAGAGAAAAGGTTAAGGATTTAATTTAAAGTGAAAAAGACGACGAAAAGGACAAATAGCCACGACATTCAACACGTAGGCACATGCGCGCAGACAAGTTCATGTGCGCGAACGGAGACAAACACATGCGCGCGCACACGCACTCTTTGAGAGAGAGAAAAAGAATCACATGGGTAATAAATCCGACCAAGACTAGAGAAATCAAAACAACAAAAAATATAGGCTTACGGCCACATCACGTTTAAACACTAGTATGATCAGCGAAGTTAAGCAACGTTGAGCCAAGTTAGTACCTAGATGGGCTACCGCTTTGGAATACCAGATGCTTTAATGTGCGGGTGGTGCAATCGATAATAGTTCGGGATTGTTAATCGGGGAGCAGTGTTCCAACTCCCGCTAGGTTCGTTATATTCACTTACGTGAATGGGAAATATATGAATCCAACTCTACTCTCCACACCCGCAAGCCTAAGATTTAATTAGTAAGATTTGTATCATTAATCTATTATTTTCAAAAACAAAAAAAAGCTTACAATCTAAAAATATTTTAGGCCTTTAGAGTTAGCTAGTATACATAGTAAAAATTTACTGATTGGTAATCTGAGGCTTTGAAAACGGATATTTTAAAAGTCTATACCGGGTGTAACAATAAAATTGTCCAAATCGTGTAATAGCAAAATTGCCTAATTGTTAGATTAAGCTCTGAACCGTTGTATCTTAGAAATGATTAAAAATGTCTTACTGTAATTCTCCGAGATATTTTTTATAACACTACCGGACTCTACTTTGAGCAATTACAATGTATATTTACTCTCCAAGCTTAACAGAAGAATCGTGATGAAATCGATCATAAACGAAATTGACATGTTCATCATTAATTAATTATAGCGAAGGATCTTAAGCTCATGAAGAATTAAAATTAAGTTCATATATATATATATATATATATATATATATATATATATATATATAATGGACTCTCCCGTCGGTTTCGACGTATGAGGATCTGCCAGCTTATTGATTCAGTTATGAAAGTTTATGCGCTAATCTTAAGTGGCATTTAAGACCCGCTAGTGATTTACAAAGGAGGCCACATATGGAGCAAGTGTGAGGATTGTGAGATGAGATCACTGTTAGATTGGTTGACCTTTTAGATCTTCCTCTCGCTTCTTGAAGATGATTCACACAAGCAGATTGAAAATTGCCGAGTCCACTAAAACACGTTGATCTCCATTCTACCCGCTCCAAAGCTAAGCGCTCAAGGGTGTTATGTGGTATATTGACTGCTGACAAGTTGCTTTTCAGCTTGTCTTTGTATCTTAGCCATGGGCGTCCTACATTCCTGTAGCTCTTATCTAACTGGCTGTATATTAGGATCTTGGGTATCCTGTCATCAGACATTCTCAAGACATGACCAGTCCACCGTAACTGAGACTGTATGATAAAAGTCTCGATTCCTCCAATATTACACCTGTTAAACAGGTCTACGTTAGATGTCCTATCTTGAAGCTTAACTCCACAGATTGCACGCAGACAGCTTTTATGGAAAACATCTAGCTGGCGTATATGGTACCTGTATGGAGTCCATGACTCTGAGCCATACAAAAGGATGGCAAGTACAACAGGTCTGTAAACCCGAATTTTCGTATCCAGTATTAAATATATATATATATATATATATATATATATATATATATATATAATTATTTATTTAAAAATATGATTCCAAATCGCGTCATAAGAAGTCTCATGTTTCAAAACAAGAGCCGAAAACTTCAATATAATCCTTTAAATTAAATTGAGTTGAAAGTAAAATGGGCTCCGTTCCATCTTCAAGCGAAATTTTTGTTGGAATAACGTATATCTGAAATTTACTTGTTTTAAAATTGAAATCAAAATCCCCATGGTAACAGCTATGGTGAATTGTCTAAATTGGGTAGGCGAGTGTAGGGTGTTTATAATAAGTAGCGGTATAGAGATACTTTCAAGGTGTCATGTCAGGGAAAGGTGGGGGTGTCAAAAATGAAACGGAAGATGTATTGGCCATCGTCTAGTTTGCTTGTCTATGGAGATTTATTTATTTATTTTATTTTATTTTATTATGAAAGGGAATTGTGCATATAAAAAAAGAAAAACTTTCGTAACGTTTGTTTTTTTTTTTGTTTTTTTTTTTTTTGTAAAGGGTTATCTTATATGTAAAGGTATTTAAACTACTAATTTAGGCTATGGATTATGAAGTGTGTTATGTTGTATGCCTTGTTTGTAGTTAATTATTCCTACTATGAATCTGATGATTGGGCTATTTGTTAAACAAGTTATATAAATTTTTTTTATCTAATAATTCAAACCAAAAATCTGATGATGCCTACAAAAAACCGTTAACTCGTGTCTATTATTTAATAGATTATTATTATTTAGAAGTTTAATAATGTGCAATTTTTCATGGAGACACAAAGGCATGGGTCATCCCAAGCTTTACATATTCTAGCCTCGTCAATAATTTTCCATTTAACTTTTGGAAAATTATTGACAAGGCTAGAATACCAAACGTCTTATGGATTGAATTGGATCTTTTCTAATTGATCTCTTTAAGTCGAAGTTGTAACGATGATCCTTCTTTCTGTTGAAACATCCTGATCCAGTTTCCCTCACAAATGTTCCCTCTTTTTAAAACTTATTCACCGTTCTCTTGATGATTCTTGAATGGACTTTCAAGATGGAAGCCAGAGTATGAATGTTGGTACCATTACTGATCTTTTTCCTCTCAGCATTGGGAAGACAGTGGGGCTGACACAAAACGATTTAACCTGTTCTCTTTCTAGCTGAATAAATAAGTTGATTTTTTTTTACGTGATTCTTACGACAAATGGTATCAAGATGATTAAACGACTTATCTGAAAAGCTGGAAAAAAGAAATTCAATTAGTTTAATTTTTTTTTTTATACATTTTGTGGGATGAATAATTATGCTGTGACGCGATTTGGACAATTTTGCTTGAACACCCGGTATAAGATATACATAAATATATAAAAATATATAAAACTAAGCGGAGGAAGATCAAAGATAAGAAATAAAATACTAATAATAAAGTGGTGGATCGAAAAAAAAGCAAAAAAAAAAAAAAAAAACAGAAAGAAAGAAGAAAAAATTGCTAACAGTTTTTTTTTTGTTTTTTTCCTCCCTTATTTCTAGTCGTTGCGCTCCTATACTTTCTTCGGTTGACTCAGAACAAATATAGGCTTAAGTCTACATCACATTGAAACACTGGTTCCAGTATGATCACCGAAGTTAAGCAACGTCGAGCCAAGTCAATACCTAGATGGATGACCGCTTTGGAATACCAAGTGTTGCAATCTTGGATATGCGGGTGAGGTAACAGATAATAGTTCGGAACAGTTAATCAGAGAGCCGTGTTCTATTTCCCGTTAGGTTCGTTATATTCACTTACGCGCAAATATCGTTGGGAAACGTATGAATCCACCTCTTCTTTCCCCCAGATATGGGTTAATTTGTAAGAATGAGAGAATTGGAAACCTGCAGGGATTTAGCATTGGCGGCCACAATCTTAACAACATAAATATGCAGATGACACATTACTGATAGCAGTCACGGAAAAGAAATTACAAAATCTCTTACAGAAGCTAGCGATGGAGAGTGTGAAGAAGGGACTAAGCATAAATTAAAAGAAAACAGATTGCATGGTCATCAGTAAAAGTATGATCCCGAAATGCGATTTTAGAATCAAGCAGACTTCAAAAAGGGCACCTCGACGTGGTGTAATGGTTAGCAAGCTTTTCTCGCTATACCAATTACGACTGAATAGTGAGTTCGATACTCACTTGGTGCCCAATGCTTTCGGCCTTGTGCCACATCTAAGCTACGCTTAGAACATCGCTAAACAGACTCGAAAGTTTAAATATCTGGGAAGCGTTCTGACAGAGGACCATAAATGCGACACTGAAATCCATAGACGTATTCGGATGGCCAAGGACGTATTCCAAAAGCTAGGCAGAGTATTGCGAGACAAGAGGATTTCTTTGGTAACGAAGAAAAGAATACTGAGCTGTTTAAGTGATATCTGTCCTTCTATAAGGCAGCAAATTTTGGACGATTTCCTCAAAGATGAAAAAGAAACTCGAGGCGACGGAGATGTGGTTCTACATAAGGATGCTGGGGATACCATAGACTGAGCATGTGAGCAACGATGAGGCTTAGAGAGAACGCAAACAAGGAGGAAGCTTATACTTAACATCAGAAAGAGGCAGTTGAAGTTCCTGAGACACATAATGAGGAAGGAGGGTCTGGAGAATCTGATACTCACGGGTCGAATAAAGGGAAAAAGAAACAAGGGAAAACAACGCATGACATACAGCAAGTGGATGTGAGAACGTGGTCTGGGGGAGGTGACAGAGGGAAAGAACTTGCTGAGAGCTGCAAGGGATAGAGGGAGGTGGAGTGCCATGATCGCCTACGTCCTGAAAGAATACGACACAAAGAAAGAAAAAGAGGCGCGATAAGTGTTTAGTTTATAAGCTTTATTATATCCACCCATATCATATTCTAAATTTGTTCATATCCATGCTCTTCCTTCGTTTTGTTTCATACTTTTGTACATATTTTTTTTTTTAAATATCCATTTTTAAATCTTTAATAACTGATGGAGTAAAAGTTTATTCACTAGTCTCAAGACTCAACGAAGGAGGAAAAGTTCTGGCAAAAGATGGAAATGAGTTTTCTGGTAATACATGTCACAGACTAGCGAAATGGCGGTCGCCCACATATGTATTTCCTTAGGGGCTTTGTTATATAATGGCTGATGACTATATAATCTTTTTCTTCTATTTACCATGTTTCTTCATGACTTGGATGATCATGGTCCTTAAAGCTTTTCTATCTCTTGTGGTTCTTAGTCATTTTTCTCCTTTTCTTCACCTCGTTCCGCCACTAATTCACACATGATGTCAGGTAGTTGGCTCGCTATCTCCCGCTATTTCTCTTGCTCTCAATATGGCTCATGACAGTTAAGTTTCGAAGGAATTTCACTTGTCTTTTCCTGATTTTGAGTATAATTATTCTTTTTGTTGCCATTTTTAAGACTTCCTTGTTTACTCGTTCCGCATATGGAATTTTCAATATCATTCTGTAGAAGCCCATTTCTGTTGCTTCTAAGTCTTTTCTCTCATACTGAGATTTCGTCTACCACATAGCAATTCAGCACTCTTTTCTTTGTCTCTAATGCCTTTTTTTCTGTTTCTCGACACCTTGCTTAGCATTTGCAATGCCTCTTTCTCTTTTTCAATGCGTGTTCAGATCTTGGTGTCTGTTGACTCCAGTTTTCTCTTCATCCGTGGAGAGATTGTTTAACATCCTCCACCATATATGAGGGTGAATTTCAAATAGCAATGCAGATCATTTTTCTTTGCTAAATGTTTTTTTTGTTTCTTAGCAGTTTCCTCTTTTATTAAGGCGATCATTGATATCTGGGATGATTCCAAGAAAATAGTTTTATTTTTTTTTATTGACTGAAGACAGATGAGATAAGGGGAAAGTTATCGCTAAAATAAAAGGAATAAATGCGAACGGACAAACAAAACAGATTCATCAAAGTAGATTTTGATATATTATTTAAAAACGCTTTCATTAAAATCCGTTTCATAAGATGCATGTTTTGAGGCATTTTTAAAAGTCTTATTTCTAAACACACACATATACGCAAAGAGAAACATGCAAACATATACAACCGTACAAACGCTCACACAAATATAACGGGAAAAACGTGTGTAACGTGCGCATATATTCGTGGATGTAATATCCGTTTGAATCCCAATAATTAATGCATCAATGCAGATGCGTGTTCATAAATATTTAGAGATACTTTCACAGCAAGGTATGAGTTTTAAGATAATATCCATTTTGCATAATATTCTTTCTGCAACCTTATATCTAAATCCACGTAGACAAAGTTGTTTGTTCATTATATATATATATATATATATATATATATATATATATATATATATATATATATATAATATAATATGAAAATATATAGAAAATAGGAAGGAACTGGTTAGGTAAATAATCCAAAGTTCCTTAGTATTTTAGTTATTATTTTTTTTAAAATAGTGCTCGATACAAAAGTAGAGCATAAATATAATTATTTATTTTAAAATATGATTCCAACTGGCGACATAAGAGGTCTCATGTTTCAAAACAAGTGCCGAAAACTTCAATATAATTATTTGAATTAAAATTGAGTTAAAGTAAGCTCTGTTCCATCTTCAATATATATATATTCATGTCATAGATCATTTGGCAAACATATATATATATATATATATATATATATATATATATATATATATATACTAAGAGAGCATTTACTTAAATATTTGTATTTATGAGAATAGCGTATAAACAGAAAATGTATTAAAATCATTGTCGGACTTAGTCCATTATGATGTCATTTGTTTACGTTAAGATAATCTTCGGGCAGATATGATCGTTCAAGAAAAAAAACAAGAAATTTGTTGTTTAAAAACAGTAATCTGACTTTGCTAATCAGACACTTCCTCTGTAGCTAAATGATATAGCAGGTCAGGCTTTATGACGGTTACATGTAGGATACAGGTTGGATTTCTGTCGGAAGACACATATATTATGTAAAATTTCTCGGACATTCAGGCCGATAAATATAGTTAATAGTGTTTATTATAAACAGTATTTAATTAAATATTTGTATCCATAAAAATAACGTATAAACAAAAAATATATTAAAATAGTATATATATAAATTATATGTGTAAATAATTTATATATATATATATATATATATATATAACGCATATATAAAAAAAATATTTCTAAATTTAAAATGGAAGCGTCTCTCGTTCGTGCGCATGAGCTGTCGTTGCAACGTAAACACATGCCAAACATAAGAAAAAAGCTATGGATTATGGAAATGCTATAAATGCGTTAGTTTGAAAACATGGGTCAGGTGTACATCAGCAAGACAGTCTTAGGTTCCACCATGTGTGTAGAAGTTCGCAAAAAGTATCCAGGTCGTGTAATATTTAATATCACATACAAACATAGGCACATACACCTACGTGTCCAAGTCTACATATCCACACATGCGTGCACTCCCATATGTGCTACTAGTCTTATGAACGAACCATCACTTCCCGTGTCACCCCCACCCAATCCATGCGGTAAGCGTTTTTAGGTGATTTTGAGTTTGTCTTTATGCCTACATTTGAAGCTCGTTTCGTTTTATTATTTGTTCTTCAATGTCTATTCGCCATTTACTTCTTTTTGCTTTATCCTTGTATTGTATCTGACAATATTATTGTGATTTCTAATTATGATTTGTACTCGGGACTATTTCATAACAATCAACCCACTGCATAAACCCATGTACATAGTTCCAAAAATTAAGAAATATCTATGCAGGTCATGCTGCTAAAGCTACCACTACCCCGATTTTCCTTCTCACCCTTTTCTTCCCTAAGCCTTCTACTCCTTTATATCCCCCTCTTGAGTTCGCTTAACGCAATGTCTTCACTGACTATCAGACTTCGGCCTAAGAACAAATACTTACTATATTAATACCGAATTTTATTTAGATTAGGATCCCTTTAATTAAATTAAATTAATTTGAATCGACAGGATTTATCCTGCATAAAAACAGCAAACGGTATCGGCCAAAGTAACATACAAGCCGATATTAAAATCTAAAAAAGTATAGAGTAAATTCTTGGTTGAGAAAACCGACTACTACCAACCACTAATCTCTTAAACCTGTCGTTACCCAACCTTTCTCTCTCACCTTCTCTTCCCACTACTCATCTAAAATGTCCGTCCGGTGTACTCTCTACATTTGCGGAGAAGGTTTCGTTCTGATGAGCTGAACATCTCAGTGTTCACGAAATATAAATTATTAACAAAACGGATAATTAAATTCTCCGTCTTCTTATTATCACTCACTATATATATATATATATATATATATATATATATATATATATATATATATATATATAGAGAGAGAGAGAGAGAGAGAGAGAGAGTATGAAAATTGTAAAAAGGTTTTGTGACATTTTTCACCCGTTAGGATTTTATCAGACTAGGTTTTGTTGATGTTGACACGTCTCCCCATGCACACGAAACGAGAGATGCTGGTAGTTTTGAATTTTTGAAAAATATTTTTCAGAATAATGAATTGCCAGAATGAATACATTGGCGAAACCTCAAGAAGTTTAAACAAAAGACTATAAACGGACATTTTACAAAACAACGCACAAAACGCATTGCTTGTTCTCCGTAACGAAACTAACCACAATTTTGACATAGGT